TCCCTGCTCAACTAGTACATCCTTAGCACACGACCATTGCCAAGAAAGCACCTTTCTGTACCCAGTTTCCCAAGAACTTACATCCGAAAGAGAGCTGAACTTTATCGAATGCTGTTTCTACTTCTAGCAAGACCATCGTGATTTTTCGTGTCACCCAAACACATGGACACTTTCTGATGTTAAACTGTCCTCTCATTTTAATCAGGTCCAAGTCCCATTGGATCAAGTGGGTTTTTTCTAAATATTTTTGAGACGCTGGTATATTTTACTCAGGCTTTCTGCATACATGTTGTGAGTCTGTAATTTTCTTTTCTCGTACTGCCCTCACCTGGTTGTAGAACCCAGTTGGGACTGGCCTCCTGAAATGAGTCGCGTTTCCTCTATTTAATGTTTCTGGAACATCTCACATCAGCCAAGTTCCTGTGTCTCAGAAGTCTGGCCCAGCCCCCTTTACCGACACCTGTCCCAGGTGTTCCTGGTGACAGAGGGGGAGGCAGAGCTGTGACTACTGTTTGCATTTACTTGTTACTAGTTTATTCACATTTTTAATTTCTACTTACACTGATCCTGGCATTTTATACTTTCCCAAAACATATCCATTTTTCTAAGTGTTCAAAGTTACTAGTACGTAGTTGTTCCTAATATTCTCTTTTATGTCTTATTCTCTGTGTCTGTAGTTAACCCTCCCATCTTCTGTATTTTTTTTCTTGCTTCATGTTTAAAAAAATCATCAATCTTGTTAGAATATTCTTCTTTATTACTCTTCAAAGACGGAATTTTAGGTTTGTTAAATGTTCCGTTATTCTCCATTCGCGGAGTGTGAAGTTCATAGACTTAAACATACATGTGTACATATGTGAATAGAAATAAGTGAATATAGGCACAGGTGTACACAGCATGTGTGTAAAGATGATTAAAACGTTATCATTGCTGTGTCTTGCTTTTGTATTGGCTTTTATAAATAGCATATTAAAATCACCAGTTTAATCATTTCCGCCTGTTACACCCACCACAGCTTTACGAATCTGAGCCTCGACTGCCAGTGCATGTATGTGTGTATATTTACATACAGTCACATACGATGCTTTTCACCCTGAAATAACAAAACTCACGGCCCGG